AGAACCTTGCCAGAACATTCGGAGAACATTCCCTGTAAGTTGCGTTGACACCTTTACTTTGTGTCTTGCTGAATAACTGATCAGTTGGAAACATAACAGCTGCCATCATCTAGATCTGAACAGCTGGAAAAAAGCAGGCTTAACGTTCATGAGGTCACGTTCAGTATAGCATCACATTCAAATTGCGCGGCTATAATTCATAAACAGCCAAACATGCGAGGCGTCATTCTGTCGGTCTCACCTCAGCAGGGGCCAAAGAATTTCACCATATGAAATTCAGCTTTATTCAACCTTCCATTATGTAATTACACTCACACATACACACAGACACAAAGACTTGAGCAAATGATCATCTAATTGCTGCGGAGCGCTTAAGTGTGTGTGTGTTGCTGTCCTTGTTGATTAGATTCTGTTTCAGTCTTTGCATCCGAATGTGATGTGTGAGGTGTTAGTGTGTTAGCGCATTAGCGAGGTGTCGGAGCGAGGGGCCCATCAGCTCGTTAATGAGCAGAAACGCTAATCGTGTTTCACACTGACACAAACGCAATTAAAACATCTGTACCGCGGCGACCTGATCTCGCACGTCTTTCTCTCCCATACGCTAATGCTAATGTTTTGCAAACAGAGAGTGAGAAATCGCCAAGGCCCGTTGACTGTTATTATGACACCTGTCAGTCATATTGGCATTAAAAGTCTTAATTCACAGCGGTGACGTCTGATGTCTGTTTTTTTCCTAAACGACATGAAGCAAATGTGAGTGGCTCTAACCTGTACAAAAGCGGCTGCCATGATGCTAAAGGGTTCAGAGTGATTGTTGGCAGTTTGCTAAGTAGTTCTGGTAGCTTGCTAGGTGGCCCCTTGTGAAAAAGAAGTACACTTACAGCATACTTTAAAAAAGAAATGAATATACTTTAAAAGAATATGAAGTGTGAAGTGAGTAATGTTCTCAGAAATGTAATTGCATGTTATCAGCGAGTAAATTATAGTAAATATATATATATATACACATATATTACATGAATTACATGAAATATGGTTAAAGCGTTCTGTCAAATATAAATATATTTGTAATAATTACAAAGTTGCAATTTAGTACATTTAAATTTAAGTGTAAATTTGCTTATTTCAAATAACACTACAGTTAAAATTATAAATAATTATATAATTATAATATTATGTAAATATTTAATTATATAATTCAGGTATGCTGTGTTTTAGTATTTAGTCAACACATCAAAATAAGTGTACTCATTTAAAGCATTACAAAACATTATTAAAACTTTTTTTGACTTTAAAGTAAAACTTTTAATTTGACATGATTACAAATTGCACATTTTAAAAGAATATTTAAGTGTGTTATGAAAACTTTCTTTAAGCACACTTAAGTGGCCTTTTATTTAATTAATTTGATATAATCTGCAAGTACTGTTTTTTTTTTAAGATTGGAAGTACACTACAAGTGTACAGTCAATACAATTAAGTCCACTTCTTTTTCACAAGGGCTCTCTATGGTATTATAGCATGACATAAATCTCTACAGAATCCATTTTTCCTATATTTAAAACTCGGACTATCTAGAAAAGTAATAACATGCCTCTCCTTCAAAAAGCCACCCAATTTGAAGTATCGTTCACGTCTTAAGTGCAAGTTTAATTCTTCGGGTTCAAATCCCTAACCCCAAATATAGCAATAGTATTAGTGATGTTTGCATTCCGTTTATAATAATCCTAATACATATGCAATACATATAGATACTATTGTTATGCATTTGTGGTCAAACATACTCAGCATGTAAGGCCTTTAACAGCCTAAAGAAAGCCTCTGGTCTCTGCAGGGGAGAGGGGTTTCTCATTTATTATGACAAATTAAAACCAGCTTTTAGATTATGATATTCTAAAGCTCACAGCTCTGCTACCCCCCTACTGGCAAGAAAAACCCACCGGCGCTGCCTCGCTCTCTCCGTTACACCCACAGCCCTCCCTCGTCCTCTCTAAAATGATGCATGGAAGCTCAGCCCAGTGTTGTCCTATTGATGGATTGGAGCACTTTGTGGAAAATTTCAGTTCACGGCCACCCTTGAGTGGAAGCTTAAGTAAGACTCTCTTTAATATTGTAATGGAGAACAGAGAGGCATGGAGAAAAATGGACCCCTTTGGATGATCTAATGTATGAGATGAATCCCAGATCACTTTGAGAGGAAGATACGGGGCGGTTGACACTCATGTTTGCTGTTTTCCAATGAATATAGACTGGTAGATGCACTTTGTGGAAAGAGTTGCAGATTAGGTCCGTCACAGTGGGATTTCAGTGATTTCTGTGGACGGCGAGAAGTAATTATACTACTGGAGAGATATCAGACCACCTGCAGGTGTTTAAAACACTTGGATGGCCCTTACGCGACACAAAGACCCTGATATTATTAAACTACTTCATTCAGCGGCATTAAACAGGCCAGACGTCCATTATAAAGCCATGCTTTTTAAAATATAAATATACAAAACAGTCCAATTAGGGGTCACACAAGCTAGAGAATTGAATAGTGTAGAACGAAATGACAAACATAAAGAATTTAAACCCACTTGGCTCCAGTATGATAATGAGATGTTAATGATATGATAATTGTATGGTAATCTGGCAAGGTTATTCAGAAGGGGAGGGGAGGTTTCTGACTGAGCAGCTGTCAAAATGTCACGCGTTATAAACATTAAAAGCACTGTCTGAAATACACATATTGAAGGATAATGCTGAATGAGATGGCTCTTATAACTTATAATTTCAAACTCAAATAATGCAAGTAACAAACTGATACTGTATAGTTTACACAAGCGGGTATGCCTAATGATAATAAGAATAATTAAATAGCAAAAATACCAAATATACAGGACATAAGAAGACTTCCAGCAATCTAAGTTACTGAGAAATGATAAATAACGAGCGCTTCACATAGTTTTGAATGATAGGAGCTGAAAAATACAAATGCAGCGCCCCCCTCTAGTGGTGTGTAATAGTAACAGCGTCGACACTAAGGGCCAGACTCACGACCGGCCCTCAGCCAGAGTCATTTCCACCACAAACATCACAGAAATCAATTGTAGGCTATACGTTGCGGACTTTCTCATTACTTTAAACAATTGAACCCCAGATAAAGTTGATCAAAAGTTAGTGTACTTCACTAAGGCGTGAGATGTGATGTTACTGTCCGCCATTTGCGATTAAGCTATAATTTTGTCAAATTATGCAAAATGATTGAACATGTTTATTTGTGTATTTAGGATACATAAAATAGCTAAAATTAGCTATAAAATTAGGTAGTCGATTAAGGAGCCGCTTTATTTCTTTCTTTCTTTATTTTGTTTTAAATGTCATTTCCATTAGGCCTACATTTTAATGCCAAGTAAGAAATATTTATGACTGGTTGGTAGCTACTGTCCACCATTTACCAGACATAATAAACTAGCAGGCATAGCAAAACTAAATTCTGAATCCAATTTGAAAAAGTGTCCCAATTTATCTTTTGAGCGGTTGCGCATTTACCGAAATACATTTATTTATGCAATATGCAGACGCTTTTAAAGCGACTTTTACATTCGATCAGTTCATGCATTCCCTGGGAATCAAACCCGTGGCTTTCTTTGCGGTATAATGCATAACAACACATAGCATTAAATCACTTGTGATTTTCCTAAATGCAATGCACTCAGATCATAGCAGCATATAATAATGATGACGATTATTCCACTTCTATGCAACACCGATGTACCTCTTTATAGTTGTGCAAAATATTTCCTTTATTAAATAGGTTAGAGAAAACCCTCTGAACTCACCTTCCTCCTTCCGTTTAGCAACCCTGTCTGACCTGTTCTTACATTAAATATGCACTCTGAAATAAAACTAAAGAGATTGTTTAAATTAAATGGTCAAATTAAATGCAAATAGCAGGTTCTAAACACAAGCTGTGTTTGTTTATTTTGACTGGTTTTGCTCTGTGTGTGTGTATTGTGACACTGTGTCTTTGGATGGAGTGAGTCAGTTGATGTGATTACAGTATGAGGTCATGGAGTCATTGTGTGCATGAGGTTTTTTTTTTTTTTTTAAACCATCAAATCAATTTAGTTAAAAAAGTTAACTACAGCATAACCAGTAAACAGTAAACTTCTATGCAACACCGATGTACCTCTTTATAGTTGTGCAAAATATTTCCTTTATTAAATAGGTTAGAGAAAACCCTCTGAACTCACCTTCCTCCTTCCGTTTAGCAACCCTGTCTGACCTGTTCTTACATTAAATATGCACTCTGAAATAAAACTAAAGAGATTGTTTAAATTAAATGCAAATAGCAGGTTCTAAACACAAGCTGTGTTTGTTTATTTTGACTGGTTTTGCTCTGTGTGTGTGTATTGTGACACTGTGTCTTTGGATGGAGTGAGTCAGTTGATGTGATTACAGTATGAGGTCATTGAGTCATTGTGTGCATGAGGTTTTTTTTTTTTTTTTAAACCATCAAATCAATTTAGTTAAAAAAGTTAACTACAGCATAACCAGTAAACAGTAGAACTGTACAGGCAGGCACCAAACAACTCATGCAGTAGATTATTTCATGCGTAACCTATGCATCATTATTAGTTTATGCAAATACGATTCGTTTCACAATTGGGAGGTTTTTGCATTCTTGGATTCACTTGTGCATTGTTGGTGCTATCGAAAATCTTTCTGAATGTGGTGTTTCCTCCTGTATGGAATGTTTCCTCTTGATCTGAACTTTTTTGAAGTCTAGAGGTGTGAGCAGGAAGGTGACAAGACATCTGTTTTTACAGTAACAGAGGAGGAAACGGAGACAGATATATTTTAGCAACATCCTCAAGCTCAGCCCAGTCTGCTGAGAGGACAGGTGAGGACAGAGAGAGAGAGAGAGAGAGAGAGAGAGCTGAGGACTCTCGTTGAAGAGGCTGAAAAGGTTACAAGAAAAATAGAGAAGGGTGAGACAAACAGATGAAATGAAGATGCATTACACTAAGATTTGGTTTGGGCTTTTTGCCATCTTGGGAAGTTTGGGGGGTCGTGACTGTAGACCTGCTTCAGGCTCACTGGAAGCCATGCAGTTAGGGGACTTCATGCTTGGAGGACTCTTTCCAGTTCACCAAAGCTTCAAGATCATCAACACGACAAGCAGTCCTATTCAACACGTGTGTGAAAAGTGAGTCCATGCATCACAACACATCATACAGCTTACATTAATAATGTCAAAGACTGAGATATTCTAATGATTGGTCATGGATTGTTCTTTCTTCAGACTGTTCAAAAAGGATAAGATCAACTGCTATAAAAACTCTTGTTCTAAATGACTGAGTTAAGCCTCCTTCCTGTTCCCTCTGACAGGTTCACCGTATCCAGGTTGATCCAATCTCTGGCGATGATTGAAGCGGTGGAGGCCATCAACAAGCCCCCCATGCTGAAAGATCTCACATTTGGCTACAAGATCATGGACACATGCTCTGATGTGACCACTGCACTGCAACACACCGATATCTTCATGGATAAAAATTCTGGCCGCACTAATTCATTGTTTCAGGCTGTTATAGGAGAGTACCATTCCGAGGTTTCCATCGCAGTGGCGAGGTATCTCACCATGGGTTATATGCCACAGGTATGTTTTGTTTAATTGACAGATAAATGACTAACAGCCCAAGTAGCCTATCAAATTGCGCCGCTGTTGCTATCTGCCATTTGGTCCTTTAACTATGGTAAAAAGGTGCTGTTATGACAAATGTATTTCAATATTAGAGTGGCTATGGAGTTTCATTCGTACCGTTCCTTAAAATTGAAAGTGTTCGATCGGACTTCTTTATGACATTGAACTTCCTTCATTTTGTCATTTTACAATCATCTCGTCTTCTAAGCTTGTGCTTTCTGATTTCTGTGCAATGATGAACTATGCTAAACTGCATTTGAAGTAATTTATTCCGAAATAAATTACTCGCCCTTCAAAAGCAATGGGCATGGTTGAGTAACCAATGTCTATTATGTTACACAATGTCAGAATTTTTCAATAATTCACTTCTTATTACTATTATCGCAGATCAGTTATGGTTCAACAGCTGGGGTTTTGAGCGACAAAACCCGTTTTCCGACATTCAAGAGGACTGTCCCGAAAGATGACCACCAGGCTAAAGCAATCACTGAAATTTTGAGGTACCACAACTGGACCTGGATTGGCATAATAGCCACTGATGGAGATTACGGGCGCTACGCTGCAGACCAACTTGAGGCGCATGCCAATTCCAAAAATATATATGTGTCATACCGAGTTGTGCTTCCTGATTTTCTAAACGATGAAAGCTTAGATTCGAAACTCAATGAAACTATCAAAAAAATCGAGAGCACCTCAAAAGTTCAAGTCATTGTTTCTTTTGCCAAATCTCACCACATGGCTTGTTTGTTCGAGAAACTCACTCCCAACGCATCTGGACGTTTCTGGATCGCCGGTGATAGTTGGTCCACGTCACTCGATGTGCTAAACAATCGTTCCCTGAATGAAGTTGGGAAAATTCTTGGAATAATCCCATTTTCAGGGGACAGCTCTCACTTCATAAGGTACCTAGATAATCTAGATCTAAACCCTGATTCACAATCAAACAACACCATCCTGCAGCACTTCATCAAAGGAGAGTTGAACAAAAGCAGAACCACCAAAGAAATAAGAGAAACCCTGAAGAAAGCTGTATGTCCTAGTGCAGTGTTTAGCGTAGGGTTGACTGTGAGTTTTGTCGCTAATGCTGTTAAAGACATCTGTTCTCGAAAAACCTGCCGTGGAGGCTTTGATATTCAACGCTCTGAGGCAAGTAATTTTCTTATTTTCTTTTCAATTATTTCAATTTTTCAAAATTTTCAATTTTCTTTTCAATTATGTTAAACCAAATAATAAATATTAAAAAGCTTAAATATATCGTCATCTTTTCCAGCTAAATGATGCCTTGGCAAGCACCATGTTTACTATGGCTAATGAGAAATATTCATTCAGCAATTATGGAGATTTGGATACCGGTTATGATATCAACATTTGGGAAGCAGCACTTGAAAATAACGCTGAAGGTATCAAAAATGTGGGACTGAGGACTGTGGCACGCTACATGATCAAGAATGAAAGCATGTTTTTCCTGAATGACAAACAAAGAAATCAGCTGGAAAATGTGACAGTGAGTTTCTGACGCCACATAATAAAGAATGAAGTGCTGTGAGGAAAGAAAGTATGAAATCTGGTTCATTAAAGGGATAGTTCACCCAGAAATAAACACTCTTTCATTATCTACACACTCTCATGTCGTTCCAAACCTGAATGACATCCTTTCCTCTGTGGAACACAAAAGAAGATATTTTGAGAAAAGTTGTGTCCATATAATTAAAATTCCAAAATAATATCAAGATTCTAATTGACTTTCATTATACTGCCAAAAACACACAAGAAAGGAAGTCATACAGGTTTGGAATGACACGAGGGTGAGTAAATGATGACTGAATTTTTATTTTGGGGTGAATTATCCCTTTAGGATTAATTCATTTTGCAAATATGTTGTATAATCTGAAATATTATACAAATAAACTATATATTGAAATTTAAATGTATATGGTATTTGTCCAAAAAATTGTTTTGTTTTGTTTTACCCCAGAGTCGTGTGATTTCACGGTGCTCTTCAAGTTGTCCCCCTGGATTTAGACGGGTTTTTTCTGAAGACAAGCCCATCTGTTGCTATGAGTGTGCGAAGTGTCCAGTAAACACATTTTCAAACAAAACAGGTATGAATTCATGAAATGAAAGTCACTTACACCCAGTGTTGGTGGTAAAACATTACAAGTAACGCAAGTTACATAATCAGATTACTTTTTTCAAGTAACTGGTAAAGTAACGCATTCATTTAAAATTTACAAGAAAATATCTGAGTTACTTTTTTCCAAAAAATAAGTTACTTTGTTTTCCCATTTATTCACTGACACCTCTCCTGTCCCCGTATTGAGAGAAATTTGGAGTGAGGTACAGAGGCATTTTCTTTAGGCTGAGGCTTATTAATTTCACTTTTGATGTGAAAGGGCCTTTACAGTTGCCAAAATTATAACTTTTAGGTTTTTATTATTAAAAATAAATAAGCAAGCCCAGCTCAAGTAACAAAAAGTAACGCAAAAGTAACATAATGCTTTACTCTCCATAACAAATAACTAAATAACGCAATAAGTTACTTTTTTATGGAGTAACACAATATCGTAATGGATTACTTTTAAAAGTAACTTTCCCCAACACTGCTTACACCAGCTTCAGACCTGCCAAAAACATGAAGTTCGCTCATTTCAATGCACAACCTTTTACATAAACATACAAAAACACATGTAAAATGCAATTATGACTCAGGCAGTTGCTTCTTCTCATTGCTATATGGAATATAAAAACAAATTCTGCTCATGTCATTTCAAACCTGTATGTATATATTTCTTCTTCGGAACACAAAAGAAGATATTTTAAGATTGTTCGTCACCAAACACTTTCGGTTCCCGTAGATTTACATTATGCGGACAAAAAATACAATAGAAGTCAATGGGAACTGAAACTTTTTGGTTTTGAATGATAATGAGGGGGAGTAGAGGAATTAGAATTTTAGAGTGGACTCATTTCATGAACTCCATTTCAGATTCAGCAGCATGATGAGATGAAATGAAAGGACGTTTAACAGATGTAACTTTTCATTCTTCTCCAGATGCAGGTGAATGTATAGATTGTCCAAAGAATTTCTGGTCTAAAGAGAACTCCACCATTTGCTCTCCCCAAACGCCAATTTTCCTGTCCTGGAAAAATGAATACTGTATCACTATTCTGGTGTTTGCTTGTCTTGGCCTCCTTTTGACACTGATTGTGACACTGGTGTTTTTAGTCAAACATGATACCCCGGTGGTCCTCGCAGCAGGGGGTCCCATCTCCATCCTGATCTTGCTGTCCCTGCTCGGGACGTTCACCAGCGCCATCTTGTTTGGTGGGAAACCCACATGCATACAGTGTCAAATCGGACAGGTGCTTTTTGGCCTGAGCTTCACCCTGTGCATCTCCTGCATCCTGGTCAGGTACTTTAAGGTTCTGCTGGCCTTCCAGAATGAATCCGCTGCCAAACGGGTCATGAAGAAACTCTTCCTGCCCTACTGGATCATTGGCATTTGTGTGCTTATCCAGGGCATCATCTGTGGTCTCTGGTTGTGGTTGAAACCACCCAAGGTTTTAGAGGACTCCGTGATCAGGTCTGAACTTATCATCCAGTGCGATGAGGGGAGCCTGCTATTCTTCGGACTCATGCTGGCCTTCATTAGCCTTCTGGCTCTGGTGTGCTTTGGATTCGCCTTCCTGGGACGGAAGCTTCCCAAGTGCTATAATGAAGAGAAGTGCATCAGCATCAGCATGCTCATCTACATTATCAGTTGGGTGGTGTTTTGCCCCATCTATGCGAACATGGTTCAATTGATCAAGTACAAATCTACCGTTCAGATGGTGGTGATGCTCTTCTCTGCATACGGGATACTCATCTGCCACTTCATGCCTAAATGTTACATCATCCTATTGAAAAGCGAGAACAACACCAAAGAGTTTTTCAAAAGCGGCATTCGGGAGTTCACCAGACGCTTCCGCAAAAGTTCACGAGTGGATCGGCATAGAGCTGGACCCGACCGGCCAGAAAGCGTATTTACTATTGACTCTGGAATCGAGAACATAATAAATAGGGTGTACTCAAATCCCTACCCAACAGGCACTATTTCCTCGTTTCACCTGTCCATAGAAAATCTGCCCCATGAGGTCAGTGTGTCTGCAGATTCCTTATACGAATTCTCAGTGTCCTCTGGATCTTCAGCAGAGATGAATGAGGAAAACCGGCAACAACAGACTTTAAGCGGCTCCCAAAAACTCCTCCTAAAGATTAAGAATACCCGTACGGAGTTCAGGAGAACCTCAAGCGTCCCGAATTTTTAAGCAATAAAAATGTTTTTACATCAACTCCACATAGATGAGTTGAACATGATGTTCTCTGTTTTGTGATTGATAAAGGGACTCACCGATTCGAAAAAATTTGTTTTTAATTATGCTAAATTCTCTTGTCAGTATAATCCTGTTTAACCAATCATTTAAACAAAAAAAAGGAGTTGCATAATGTTTGTGATTGACATGATTTCTGTGATTGTCTTTCATGTTCTTGTTATCAATATCATCATTGTCTTTAATGATCTGATTTAGCACTTGTGTGTCCAAATCAGGGAAAACAATAAAGCTTTTAATAAACAAACTCGTTTTTGCTGTGGATCTCTAATGAAAACAATATATGAAAGAATTAATTAATAAATGAGCAAAAATAAATAAATATATAAATACGAATGCTTAATAATATATAATATGAAATGAAAGCAAAGTAAATATCAATACAGATATGCTTATAGGATGCCATCTCAGGGAAAACAATAAAGCTTTTAATGAACAAATAGGGTTTTCCGTGAATCTGTAGCCAAAGCAATATATGAATGAATTGAAAATGAACTAAAATGAACTAAATAATTAAATAAACAAAAAATCATGTATAATATGATATAGAAAATAAAGTCAATATCAGTACTGCATTAATCCATTCATTCTCCAAACTGTTGGGATGCTGGACCCAATCAACAAGAAATTTGAAATGTTTTATAAAAATATAAAGGATATTCACAATTTAAAATGTGGGGAGAACTGTAAAACACTGCTTTATTGGTTCTACAGTAATACACTGAATACTTAATCGGTGACATTTCAATAAACAGTAAATAAACCATTTTCCTTACAAATCTATTTAGAATGTTTGTCTGTTTGTGCTTATTTTGGGGCACAAGGACTTTACTACTTCAGATGCAAAACAACCTACTTTAATAGTATTTTGTAAACACCACCAGCATCTCAAGCAAAGCCACTTTGATTTAGTAATAAAACTTTACTGCATTTTATTTCTGCTCTCTAAATTGTTGATACTGGGGCATATAAATGCCAAACAGTGCAATTTCTATTTGGAATTAGATATACTTGCATCAAAATCTTTATATTTTGTTTCTCTTTAAAAAAATCTATTTATGCATCTAAAAATGATTTCACAAACATATGGGCTACTATGGGTTGTTGTTGAGTCTCCAGGAAAAACCCCACACGCACCAGCCTAGAAACATCAGATGACTTCTCTGGAATTCCTCTTGCTACATAAGAAGTGATAATAAGCTTATATAACCCTGTTGTTGTTTTTTTGTTTAGTCTTCCTCCTTTTGTGTTTTTGTTGTCTGACATGCCTGAAATTCTTACAGCAGCCGCACCATTATGTTGAGAATGCTTCTTTAAACTTGGTTTTCCTGGTTGAAGTGACTTTTCATTTTGATCTTGGCATCAATGACAGAAATGTGATCTTCCTGATTGAGCAATGCATTCAAACCACATTTTCATCCTCTTCCTGCATAGATCACTTTACAATAAGGTCTCATTTGTTAACATTATAATGCATTAGTTAACATTAACTAACTACACTGTAATAGTTTTTTTGTAAAATAGGGAACAATGTACTGTATCAATATGAAGGAATTTTCTGTATCGATTTTTACAAGTGTCTTGAGTATATTTTGCACTGCATTGCATTGTGTTTTGGGGTTAACAGAAATGTCCAGACATTAATGTATTGTATAATGTCCTGGCAGAAAATTATCTTTTTTTTTTTTTTTTTTCATATGAGCAATAATTTTACAGCATTTATTAATCGCTGTCAAGGTTAGTTAATAAGAATACAATTGTTCATTGTTATTATTACTTCACAGCTCATGTTAACAGACAAAACTTTTGATTTGAAGAATTCATCAAGATTAATAAATGATTTAGAAATATTGATATATTGTTTATTGTTAGTTCTTGTTAACCAATGTAGTTATTTTCAATTAGTTTTTGTTTTTATATTTGCTGTTTTTATTTTAAAGTTTTAGTATGTTGTCTGTTTTTATTAGTTTTTCAAAGTATATATATATATATATCCTAATGGTATATCATTTTGGCATAAAAGAAAAATCAATTATTTTGACCCATTGTTGGCTATATATATAGTTTTTATTACTTTTTATTTCAGTTTTAGTTATTTTACTACATCAAGTTGGATTTTTATTTTATAGTTTTATTGAAATATATCAGGAAAAAATAATCATATATATATATATATATATATATACATACATATAAATTGTTCTGAACACCATGGTCAGTGCTACCTCTATTACAATTCCACAATTGTTTAAAACTGAGTTCTAGGCTACTCTAGAATAATCTCCAGTCTGAGATGTATGTAGGCTATACAGCACAGACAGATTAGATGAATGCTTCACGCTTTATTTCGTGTGTTTACAGTAGCCTAACCAAGCGAAACATCTAAATGAGGCTGTGTGTGCTTGTGTGCTTGACTGTTCATTTGCCACTCATGCCAGTATCTTGACTACGCTGATTAGAGGCAGTATTCCTCAGCTGTCAGGCTGACTGAAAACAATCAAAGCCTCCATACCCCCAATCACCGCAGCTCTCTCCCCGAGCGCCGCCGCCGCAATCAGCCGCTGATTAGGGAACCTGTCGCCCTTCTCCAGCCTGCAGCGGGGGTTAATTCGCGCGTCAGATGTGCCGCAGAGGGCCACGGAGAGGCGAATGGGAACGTGAGCGGCATGATATTGGACGGATATAGCCGCCCTGTCAATCACTTGGGATTCACTGTAAAGGCTCAGACTCTCTTCATCTCGCTCTCCTCCTCCTCCTCCTCCAGGGCCCGGGGTAATCTATTTAAGCCAAATGTGAGGATGCACCAATTAAATCAGACGCCGTTTGGAAAATTGTGCCTGTTTTCGACACATGAAAGCAGTCTAAAAACATGGTACGATCTAAACAACAAATAATACATTTACTGCATGTTGTTTCGCACCAATTCACTGTTTATTGCTACCTTTAGCTACACTGAAAATTATTTACTGTAATTTGCAAGCAAATTTAATAAATCTTCTTGTAAAGCACTCTAATAATGTTTGTTTTGTTTATGCATTTTAAAAACTTGTTACAATGTAAATAATTTGTGTAAAAAAAAAAACCTCAGAAACTGCTAGTCAATTTCACAAATAATTACAAAGAAATGGCAAGAATTAAATGTGAAATTTTGAAGTAGAAAGACTGAAACCGTATCGTCTTGTAAAACGTAGGCTACTATAATCGTTTAGACCTAACAAAAATAGCTATATTAAATAATAATAACCTTAGAAATAAATTTGCTTATTTTTGCTTACTTCGAAAAATATTTTTAAGTCTATTTATCTTTATAGTATGGGCCTTCATTTAGTTTAAGCTTAAGTCTTAATTTATTTTTTTCTATTCTATTTTGTCTCAACGCCAGCAATTACTGGATGCTGTATTGTTATTGTAAATAATAAATAAACAATATTGTATTTTAAATTGACTTGACTAAATTAATAATTCTTCATATCAGAGAATGCATTAGGCCTAGAATTATGCTCGAGAAATAAGAATAGATAAAAATACTATTTTTTTTTTATGGCTGTATAGCTATATCGTGTTTGATTTTGGGTTATTTTTCTTAATTTTCTCGATATAAAGACATTAGTTTTTATTATTTAGGCAACTGTTTTTCTTAAGTCATTTGGGGCCTTTTTAATGATCTGCTGTTTTATGAATATTTTACTCCCGTGGTGTGGAATAATATATTAATTCAGTCTATACAATGGGAATTCATTTATTGGGTCGCTGGGCGGAGATCGGTGTATCTGCGCATGTGCGGTTATGACACGAGTCACCGTAAAGTGTAGTTTTCTCTCAGCTGACAGCCCGACCGGTTTTGCACAACCCAGAAGCGGAAAAAAATTACACAGAGGTATGCTTTTTTTTTTCATAAAAAAAAACAAACAAGCTCTCGAAAAGGCGCCACTAAAGCTTTCGGTTCTTGACGGAAGTTGAACTGGACTTTATTGTTTTTTTTTTTTTTTGACTTTTTTTTTTCTTTTTTTTTTTTTTTTTTTTATTTTATGAATATTTTACTCCCGTGGTGTGGAATAATATATTAATTCAGTCTATACAATGGGAATTCATTTATTGGGTCGCTGGGCGGAGATCGGTGTATCTGCGCATGTGCGGTTATGACACGAGTCACCGTAAAGTGTAGTTTTTTATCATGCATCGTGGGACTGTCCTTACAACATGTTTCTAAGAGGAAGCTCTGCTGAGTTATACAGAAGCGTCATGACGTCACGTGCAGCACGTCGATGTATGTGTCAGTTTAGTGGAGCATATTTGTTGGTTTTGTTGTGTGTTCATGAAAATATTAATTTGGCAACAATAAGTTTCCACATAATAAAGAAGTTGTTTTCAATCATGCAAAATGTTGCTTAAACTATGGCACAGCAGGACAGGCAGTTATAGATCATGTGAGTAGGTCATCTAATGCATTATGACAAGATCATGAAGCTGAAGTAGAAAGTAAAAGTTTTTTATCATGCATCGTGGGACTGTCCTTACAACATGTTTCTAAGAGGAAGCTCTGCTGAAATAAGTTTTGCGTTCACATTGTGATCCAGGAATTTCTCACTGATGAGTGTCTTGAAAGTTTTTTCATTTGACATACTGTGGGAGTTCAGAGGACGGCTACACTGCAAAACATGATATTTTTACTTAATACTTATGTCTTCTTTTTCAGTCAAAGTATCTAAACATTCTTGAATCAAAGTGTATTTCACTGAGAATCACAATCTCTTAAGATGCGTCTCATTTTCTGAAAATAGTTGAGTTTATGATAAAATGAGAAAATACCTGTCATTGGGGTAAGAAAAATAAACCATTCAAAGGGAATGCAGCATTATTTTTCTTAACTCTTTGACAGATATTTCCTCTTAATTTTTATAGTTTTTTCTTCTCAAGTAAATATATCTTGATTTAAT